GCATGTCGTCCGCGAAGAGGGCGGGGATGCGGAGGTCCTCCAGCAGCGCGGGGCACTCGTTCCGCAGGCTCATCTCCAGGCCGTACAGGGCGTCGCCTCGACGCCCGCCGTCTCCGTCGCGCCCGAACTGTGTCGCCAGGTACTCTCCGAGGGGCATCTCCCCGGCATCGCGCAGCGCGGCCCAGTCGGCGGAGCCGAGGTCGTAGGCGAACACGGGGAGGCGGGCGCTCGGGCACCTTGCCATCGCTCGGACATCAATTTCCGGTGTATTTGTCGATTTCGTTAGCTTTTGTTGCTTGTTACTTTATATGTTCTCCTTTTTTTTTCGAAAATGATCCAAGATGCTCCTCCATGGTCCACGCCGAGGAAAAAATGCACATGTCCCAGCGATGCCGAGGCACCTCTCGGACAGGGACTCCGCCGTCCAGCGCAGCGCGGGCCACTCCTGCAGCGCCCCCTCGATGACCAGAGGCCCCCGGTTGTGATAGCGCTCGAAGAACGTGGCCAGCGCCCCGGGGCTGCTGATGTTCAGCCGCGGCACAGGCAGCTCGGCGGCGTAGCTGGTTCGGGTGTTGCTGCAGGTGTTCCTGCCTTGAGATCCTGGCGTCTCAATTGTTTCGATCGTGGCGTTTCGCCCAATTTCAGGCCACTGGGACCCTCGCAGATCGATCCGGCTCCAGAAACGGCGCAGAAAGATGGGGTCCAGGGCTCCAGTTGTGCTTTGTCACGGTGTGCCAATTCTTCGAGGCGCCCGATCTCAGGGTGTGCCAAGGTGTCCCCCGCTTTCCTCTCCACTCTGGTGAAGGGGCCCCAGGACACACAAATAAATACACACAAATAGAATGATTCCACATATTTTCCCATTTTTGTTTGAGTTTTTGTCTTCCCCCCCACTTCCCATATGTTCCCATATTTTTCTAGGAGTGGACGATTAATTGTGTCTGTGTGTTGTTTCCCCTCCTGATCTGGAATCCCTGGAGGGTGCCCTGGAGGGCGCGGGGGCCTCCTTGGAAATCCTGGGGGCACCGTGGGCCAGGGACACCTCTGGCAACACCCAGCTGGTGGGCGTCGAGCGCCAGGCAGCCAGCGCCCACGCTGCCGCGACCGCCCCGCAGCCGCCCGCCAGCGCAAGGGCCCTCGCGGCCGAAGAGCCCGAGCCTGGGGAAGCCAGAAGGCACCGACACCGCTGCTCTCCAGGTCCAGACCTCTCCTGGGGCGCGTCCTGACCAGAAGGATCTCGGAGCGAATCCAGCCGTGGCGACGAGGGCCTCCCAGAGGGCCACCCCGACAGGGGACAACGAGGGAATGCCAGCAGCATGGAGGAGACGGAGGAGGAGAAGGAGGAGGATGAGGAGGAGGAGGAGGAGGATGAGGAGGAGGAGGAGGAGGACCAGAGTAAACCCAACAGACATCAATGATGTTGGAATAAACCCTCCCTCCAAGCTCCCTCTGCATAGGCTCCTGAAGGCTCGTTGGAAGACAGCCGCTTGAAGACCCTGCAGCATGCCAAACCATTGTTCTTGGGATTCCAACGCCACGGATCAACCTGACTGTTGCGTGCTGACGCAGTACGTTCCTCCTCCGAGGAGCCGCTGCCCTGGCGGGCGCGCCGCGCCTGCAGTGCCGCTGCGTTGGCCGGCGCGCCGGCGACCGCTGGCGGTTTCCTCGCCGCGGCGCCGCGCTTCATGGCGGCATCGCCGGGTGCCGCGGGGGTCGACGCGCAGAGTGAGCGCGGCGGATGGCGGGCGGGCGGCGGGCGGCGGGCGCGGCCCGAGCTGCAGGGCCACGGGAGGCGCGGCAGCAGGGGGAGGGGGAGGAGGAGGGGGAGGAGAAGGAGGAGGGGGACGGGGAGGGGGAGGAGGACAAGCTAGGTGCGCTCGCGTCATATCTGACGTCCTACCCCTCCCTCCCATCCCTTACCATGGCGCTGATTTTCTCTATCCGCGGACGCGTGTCGTAGCGGACCTGTGGCTCCGCGCGCGCGTGCGTACTGGGTGGTGGTGCGCGTGCGTGCGTGCGTGCGTGTGTGCGTGGTTGTGGTGGTGGTGGTGGTGGTGGTGGTGGTGGTGGTGGTGCTGGTGCTGGTGGTGGTGGGTGCTGGTGCTGGTGCTGGTGGGTGCTGGTGCTGGTGCTGGTGGTGGTGGTGTGTGGTGCGGCGCGGTGGTGGCGGGCGGATGGGCGCGCGAGAAAGAGGCCCGCGCTGGGGCGAGAACGCCATCCTGAACGACGGAGGCCAAACACCGATCCGAAAATGAGGCCCACGCTGCAGCGGGAGCACGATTCGGAACGATTCGGGAACAGAAATGAGGCCGACGCCTCAGCGAGAGCAGCATTTTGAAAAAAAACGCAGGCGAAAACCCAACTCGCGGGAATCCTGTGTGTAAAAAACAATACGCGGGGGGGGTCTAATACTTTCAGGCCGCCATCGGGGGAAGAGGGAGAGTAGTATTCATATTGAGTAATTGTGGAAGGGAAGGGGAAGGGGGGAGGGAAAGGGGGAGGGAGAGGAGGAGGAGGAGGGGGAGGAGGAGGGGGGGAGGAGGAGCAGGAGGAGGAGGAGGAGGACCAATGTAAAGTCAAGAAGCATCAGCGCTGTTGGATTGGGCCCTCCCTCCAAGCTCCTTCTTCATAGGCCACTGCCAAGGTTCATATCCACCGAGGGAACTGCATCGTTGGAAGACAACCGTTTGAAGGCCCTGCAGCATGCCAAAACATTGTCCTCGGGATTCCAACGCCACGGATCAACTTGACTGTTGCGTCTGGACGATCCTGGATCGCGCCAGAACGCAATTCCTGGGACTTCAACACAGCATATCAACGTAACCGCTGCACCCTGATAGTCTTGAGTCCGTCCTGAATCATGGGAATCCGTGAAACCCTTGCTGGTGACTTGAATGAATGCGCGCGGCGATAAAGCGAGAACCACATTTTGGAAACGATCCGCCCTCAATCCGTGAAGCTCTTGCAATGTTTGTCAACGAGCGCGCGCGGTGCTAAGGCAAGAGCCGCATTTTGAAAGCAAACCGCCCTCAATCCGTGAAGCTCTTCAACTTCTTCTTAACGAATATGCGCGGCGCTAATGCGAGCGCCACAATTTGAAAACCACCCGCCCTCAATCCGTGAAGCTCTTCGAATTCTTAACGGATATACGTGGCGCTAAAACGAAAGCCACATTTTGGAAACCACCCACCCTCCATCTGCGAAGCTGTTGCCAATTCTCTAAGCTTCAGATTCATGGGCGGTGAGGAAGTCTCAGGAGAAACGCCCAGCCCGCCATTAAAAACTGGTTCCGGGGAGCGACAGGGAGACATGATTTTTCAGGAAAGGGAACGGAGGAGGAGTAGGAATAGGAGTAGGAGTAGGAGTAGGAGTAGGAGTAGGAGTAGGAGTAGGAGTAGGAGTAGGAGTATGAGGAGGAGGAGGAGGAGGAGGAGGAGGAGGAGGAGGAGGAGGAGGAGGAGGAGGAGGAGGAGGAGGATTTAGTATTCCGCGGGTCGTGAGCGCCTCTCCTCCGAAACGCGCGGGCGAGGAAAAGAGAAGGACGGAGGACAGGCAGCCGCACAGCCGCGGCCGCCGCCTGGAGTCCCAGGATGGGCCACCCCCAGGAATAGAGCGCCCCGACGAAGCACCTGGCTGGGGTCCCAGGAGGGGCCACCCCCAGCAATACATGCACGTCGAAACCGTCCTCGAAAAGGGAGGCCTTACACCATGAAAACCGCGGTAGCTTCCAAAGGATCAAGATGACATGATAAGTAAAAGTAGCAAGCTGGTGAATGAAGTTAGAAGCTGCTGGTGCCGGGCGTCTTGCTAGTATGCATGACACGCCCTTTTTCGGGAGAATGCCACGCGCCAGTTTGTCCAACTTCTGATATCCGTAGTGCCCAAGATCTCCGCTGCACTCTCTCAGAAAGTGCTTGCCGGCACACCCACACTTCAAGCGCGCGAGGATCTGCAGACCCCTAAAGTAACCCAGCAAATGAGATACGTGAATATGTACTCCTTGTACCAACACTCCAGCGTCACCAACTCGCTGAATACTGCCCTTGACAACACCGCCCAAACAGGGCGCCTCCAAGAGCTGCTCCAGCTTCCGTCCACGAGCACTGCAGCCACACGCAGAACAATGAACAACCGTTCCCATACCACTGAAAACCTGGTGCTCTGACATCGTGACCTTGCGCTGGAACCGAACTGCCATTGAGCGTGTTGGGCGCAGTCTCTTCGGCTCCGCCTCCGCAGCTGCCAAGAAGGCCTTGGCCAGGTGCTTCCGCGCAGCTCTGCCGATCGCCGCAGCGTGCTCCACTGCCGACACCACCGCACTTGGCACAGCACACTTCTCAGCCCCAAAGCCTGCCGCTTCGTCAGCCATAGCATTGGCCAGGTAGTGCTCCACCTTGGTGCCCGCGTTCGCAGCCTCTTCCACTGTCATCTGGCTCTCGATCTTGACCACATTGAGCAGTGACGGGTGTGGCAGCAACACCTGCTTCAGCTTCAGCCAGAGGTCCAAGTTGGTTCTTGGCAGCCGACCTGCGTTTTGTTTGGCTAAGCCCTTCACGACGTAGCCCGGGTCCGTGACAAAGGCGATGGGCACTCCAAGCCCCAAGAGATCGTCCACCGCCCTGAGCAGAGCCGTCGTCTCACCCCTGTTGGTGGTCTGCTTCATGGGAACGCCGCCTCCTCGGGAATACAGCTTGACATCCAAGGTCGGTTCACGAAGGGCCTGTATAACATGATACGACCAGTGTGCTCCCCACCAGACGCATCGCCTCCAACAAGACGTGCCTGCAGCCTTGAAGATCCACCTTGTGGCCCATAACCTCGTGGAGCGGTGCCAGACGGCTCAGCGACTTGCGTCCAAGACGAAGGTGCGATCCCTCGAAGCCAGAGGCAAGGTAGTTCTCCACAATTATCACGAGCACGTCGGACAAGCGTCTGAGAGATTGTAGAAAAGACACATTGCAAGAACAGGTCCAGCTGCGATGAAGATCAGTCTCCTCTTCGCCGCAAGCGCATCTCTGGCAGTCCGTGGAGTCCAACTTGTTGCTGATCAGGGTGGCTATCCTGCTACGTGTCCAGGAGGCTCCCGCCATTGCTGCTTCGATGGCACCTGCCATCTCCAGTTCCCCATTCTTCCTCAGGGAAGCAAGATGCCGACGTGCATCGCGTAGATCAGCTCCTTCAGGCAGGCCCTTGCCATTCTAGTGTCTAGAGGCCCTATCCCAAAGCGTCCGATCGATGGCGTCCGAGATGACATATTTGAGGGCGCTCATATCCTCGGGACCTTTCCCAATGATACTACCTGGTGCCATGCAACGCCCCCCAGCATCCGGGATCCATCCCCACGGTCCAACGGGGTCCCAGCCAATGTTCAAAAGCGTGGCAATCGTACACCACCCCAGTGATACCCCGCCATCTGTCTTTCTGCGCTCTGTCGTCGATCCGCCCCCTAGCCGCGCGCCACGTTCGCCGAGCCAATTCCAGATCGGCCCCAGGTTTGAAGATTACGGACATCCAGGACTCTAGCAGCCTGTGCACAAACTGGCACTGCGGGCCCTTCCTCCCCACGCGAAGTTGAAGTAAAGTGGCGAGGCAACGACCAGGCCACTTCTTTGCCAGACTCTGCCCGAGCGCCTTCCTCCATCCGTTGATAATCGAGGGAGCAGCGCCGAACACCTTGTCCGAATAGTCCGCCGTCGATAAGACTCCCATCGTAGCGAGCTTGGCCCCGATCTTCTTCCTAGCAGGTCCCTGTGCACAGCGCTTGACACGGTTAAACCGATTCTGAGCTCCACGTCGTCGCTGCGCTTGCTTAGGACGCCGAAAGCCAACTGTGCTCCGATCGATACCAGGGTCCGCGGCGACGCTCTCGATCTTGACAGCAAAGCCTTCTTTGGCAAAACCTTTATGAAGAGCTTTCCCAAGGTCAGCATGGTTGGTGACGATAGTAGATTTAGACGAGATGACCTATCCCACATCGGAGCAACCTTTGGGAAAAAGTGAATCATGCCTGCAGGGCCAGACCAAGGGTCCTCTTGCACCTGCCTTCCATGCGCTGAGATATGTCGCCCACCCGGGACCGTGTAGTCACCCCTGGCGTACCTCGAGCCACTCTGTCAAGAATGCTGCACAACGCACACCTTGAAAAATCAACTGCGCCTCTCAAGCCCGCAACCATGCTCTGCCCAGAGATGATGGGGTCGAAAAAATACCCACTGTCCCGTAAGAAGCGGACTCCGATGTGCAGGATCATCTCCGGGGCCAGTGTGCCAGGGGGAAACTCACGTTCCAACCCTGATTCGAGCAATAACTTCCACTTGAGAGCGTCATAGAAGCCTTCGATCTACCACATCATACGAGCCTGCGCCCAGCCTTGGATTGTAGATAGGGCCACCGCCTCGTCCAGGTAGCTGCGCATCAGGGCCTCGCGTAGGGCAGGCGATCCTGCAACGGATGCATCCCAATGGCCAGCCCTGTCCCGAGTCCAACTGGCGCGGTACTCCCCGCGGCAACTAGACCGCGGCCTCGCAGGTTGGACAGTGCTCCGATGGCCCTGTCGTCGCCTGAAGGTTTCCTCGTGGGCGTCACCAAAACCACTGTAAGCTGCCAAGGCCAAGCGACCTCCTTCTCGATCTGTTGGAATAGCTGTGCCAATTCCAATTTGCCTTGTTCTGGAAGCCAAACAAAATCTTTCGTACCCAGCTGCCCGATGCCCATGGCCGAGGTGCCCTTGATCCCCCCGATGCCCCCCCCCAGTGTTTCCAAATCGACGGCGGGGAAAGGGGCTCACCTGAAACTGCCGCGCGCAGTGCGCAAAAGGTGCGACGCCGGCTCAATATCAAAAGGCGAATCACTCCATCTCTCGCGCCAAACCTTCGCTCTGATGTCCATCGCCATGAGCGGGTCGGAGGAGGCGATCGGTCCGTCCTCGAACTCGTCCGTCGCTGCTGGCTTATCTTTGATCAGTCGACATAGCTCCCCAGGCGCCCCTATGCACTGCCCCCCCGCCCATTGCGAGGAAGCCAAGCACTGCGAGTAGCACTCCATCCTTTGCAGGCTGCTGGCCATATTGCTGCAGTCCTCCTTGCGCCTGCGGATGGCGTCATTCGTGGCAGAACTCAACATGCGAAGCTTTCTGCACCATGACTGCTTTTCCTTCCTCGGTAACTAGGCCAGAGTGGAAGTGGGAACGCGCGCCGCCCCGCCCCTCGGTCTGTTGATGAGCTGCCGAACCGACAGGGCCTCACGTTTCGAGGTGGCCCTGTCGAGTTCCTCAAGCAAGAAGGCTACCTTAGCCCACCGATCCACCCCAGGGTCCCGTGTCCGAGTGAAAGGAAGAGAAGGCGCAACTTTGTTGATCCTGACCGAACGGGCAATGCCTCTACCACGCTGTGCTCTGCCGCCCTTGTCCAAGCCTTCACCATCCGATAATGTACTGCAATAGTCCTCTACCTTGCTGACCCACTTGCCAACTTGATGTCTCAAAGAAGAAGCACTGTCAGCCGTGAAATCCCATGCGTGCGAGTCCCGAACGTAGCCAGGAGGTTTGGACCATCTTTTGTCATTGGTGATGACAATCGAGCCCCACACGCCCCCCCGGTTGCGCGAGGACCACTTCTCGCCCAGCCCTTCATCAGCAGCTGGTGGAACTAGGTCTGCCCCCGGCTCGTCCTCAGGCAGTGGGTCCTCTTCGTCTACTTCCTCCTTAACATCGCACTCCGACCCCCCCCCCCCAGGTCCGAAGGTCCCAGATCATTGAGGCGGCGGAGGCTTGGTGACAAATCTCCTGCGAGCCCCCAACGCAGGAACTTTGGGCCGCGTAGCCGCCGGGGTAGCAACAACCGCCAACTTCCATGAGCGCTTGCTTTTCGGGTCCGCCTTTTTCTTCGGCTGATTGGGTTGCCCGAAGGCCTTGGGAAGTCCTGGAGCGCGTCCTTCTGTTTCCTTCGCCTCCAGAAGCGCGCCTTGCCACCTTCTCCAACCAAATCTGCGTCCGCGCGCGCCCGATCCAGGTAATCCAGAGCGGGCCCTGAAGCCACGACGTAGTCGATAAGTGTACCTTGCCCACCAGTGTACGCGTGCCCCACGCCGTCGGCAACCAAGATATTCACTTGCACCAAATTGAGCCACCCTGGCCTCCAGAGGGCTTCAGGGGGAAGTTCCAGTCGCACAAGATGACCCATGGCGTGGATAACGATGACACCAACGATGCCACGTGACGCAGCTTCTCCACGTTGGCCCCATGTAGTTCCCAGTCCGTCGTAGAGGTAGCCGCCCAGGGTCGCGATGTGAGCGCCCGTCAAAAGGACCTGCGTCCCCGCCAAGTCTTTGAACCGAACGCCAGTGGTCATGTTATGGTCCTTCTTGTGCTTGTCGACTCTTTTGCCCGGTACGTCGTCCATGTTCGAGGCCAAATGCCGAAGGGGCCAAGACGCCCATTTCTTGGGAACTCCCACTGCCACTCCACCTGCCTTCGAAGTGAGATGTGCCGACTCAGCTCCAGCTGGGCAGACCGTGCTGTTGTAGCCGGCTTTGTCAAACTCCACCAGCACATCATTCGTCTCCGACATGTCCATGCGAGTTTCCTGGGCGATGACCGCGCCGCACGGTCGTTTGAGTAGCAGCTCCGCCGAAGGCCCCCAGGTCGACATACTTCTCATATAGATGCGGAACTTCACGCCGCCGTCCTCTTGAGGAGGACCTTCTGCCTTCGCTGCCTGCTTCCCTGTCCCAGTAGCCGCACTTTGGCCCATGTCATAGGAAGTTGTAGGTTGTCCCAAGGTGAACGAGACCCAACTAACTCCACACCAGACTCGCCCTGTCTTGGACTAGATCGCCCACTTCGCTATCCTCGTCCCCGCGTGGGAGGGCGCGATCAGGTGGTACTCGATCTCCAAACCAACGCCTGCATCGTCGACGCAGATCGCGAAGGTCTTGAAAGTGCCATCTGGCAGATCTGCGGCATTGCCCCCTGCCCCTGGTGCCATTGAGAGTCGTAGAGAAAATGCCCGAAGAGGTTCGGCTCGGACCCAAACTTCGGCGCGCATAATCTCCGCGATCTTCGCCAATGGACGGCCATGGGAACTTTCCAATTTGATGCGCATATTCCTCCGTGAGCGGTGTGAGAGGGACTCACTGAAATACGGTGCACACCATTCCCGCCAATACTCTAAGCTGTTGAATCTCCCCCCTCTGATATTGTGGATCCATCTGTCTGCTGATGCTGTAATATAATCTCTTAGACGTCGTCGTTCCCGTGCTGAATGGTCGGCCCTGGGAAACAAAATATGTGGTGGCCACCGGCCCATGCAAGTCGCATGCGGGGCGCTGCGTGCAGCAGAACGGCTGGCCGTTTGCCCCGCCCCACTGTTCTCCCAATTCCTGTGGAATGGGCGCCCCGGGCACGCGTCGGCTGCCGCCGCGACGGAACCAGGCCGAACCTGGATTTGCAGCTGTCGCCTCAGAGAATACAAGCTTCCAAGTACCGACCAGCCTGAGACAGACATCTCATCCTCCCAGAAGAGAAAGCAATCCTGTCCACCAAGAATGAAGTATCCGCCCTGATTAAGCCCATCAACGCCCGAGAAATGTCCATCCAACTGCCCCCCAGGGGTCTCGGGAGGAGCCCCCCCCCCCCCCCTCGGATGCCTCCAATTCGTAATAGTAAGCCTCCCAGGCAAAGCCAAGGGTCCCAAGAGGGGCCACCCCCTGGCAATCCTCGGCGAAGCCGTGGAACGCATCTGCGCTGTCCTTGCTAGGGGCCCCAAGAGGGGCCACCCACTGGATAGCATCCGAGTCGAAGTTGAGCTCCGCCCCCCAGTCCTTTCCAGGGGTCCCAAGAGGGGCCACCCCCTGGTGCGCCAGGGGGGCAGGGGTCTCAAGAGGAGCCACCCCCTGGAAAACCTCCGGGTCGAAGTAGTGCACATCCCCCAAGTTCTTGCCAGGGGTCTCAAGAGGAGACGCCCCCTGAAATACGCGCGTGCCCTCGATGAAGCTGCCAGGGGTCTCAGAAGGAGACGCCCCCTGGAATGGCCCGCCTGCAGCCGAGAAAGCCGCCGTGCCTGTAGTAGATATGCCCCGCGAGCCCTCTTCACTGGCCGCCCTCTGCGCTGCGACCTGTCCAAGGCTGGGCGGGGGCCAGAGTTCGGCCGAGGGTGGGCTTGCATCAAACGCTCGGCGACGGGGTCCTGCTGGCTGTAAGGGTCTGTTCCAAGATGGCCTTGCACTCCTTCTGGTTGTCCGTCGCCACTTGCTCGACCCCGTGCCAAGATGACGGAGGCGTCGAACCAGTGGCTGTCCCAATAATTGCCTGAGGTGCCGTAGATGGTGCCGTAGACCCTGTAGACGCTGCCGCTGCAGTGGGGGCTGCCGCTCCCGCCTCATCTTCTCCAGCACCAGTTTGCGGGGCCCCTGGCCCTGGCGAGGGGCTGCCCTTGCGCTTCTTGGTAGCCTGCCAGGCCCAGAACTTCCACCTTGTTTTCTGCTGCTGCTCAGCCAGCGTTGCAACCATTTGAGCTGTGAAGATAGAGCCGCCCTGAACTCTTCCTCGAAGGATGTCTTACGCCGCTCCAACTCAATGCGACCCTGCTCCTCCAACCCCACGTCTTCGAAGATACCGCCAAAACTGAGCTCGAGTTCTGTCTTCTTGTCCAAGAACTCTCGTACGTCCAACTTCCCCAGTTCAGGTCGCCGAACAGGTTCTGGGGCAAGTTCCTCGGCAACATATTCTTGAGAAGCGATAGCCTCCGCCAAGCTAGCAAAATGATCACTGTACTGGCCCATGGTCGTGCCGAGCTCCTTTTCCAATCGAAGAACACGCTTTGCCACCTTGTCCAAAGCAACTTCAGCTCGTTCGACTCGCGCAGAGGCCTCGGCACCCTGATGGGCGGAGGCTTGGGAGGAGCCGCTGGCGCCTGTGCCAAGATAGACTGTAACATACGAGCCTGCTCTGCTGCTGCACCGCCCTTCGCGATGATGAGTCCCAAAGAGGCTTCGACATCAACGGGCAGCTGCCCGCGCTGATCACCGCCACCCTGTCCTGGTCGTTGTCCACCGGGGCGACCCATGAGGAAGTTGCCAGAGTACTGGCACGTGTAGTCGAACTTCTCGAGCTGGTCGTTGTAGCAGAACTTGCCGCATTCCTTGCACCACGTGGCGTCCCTTCCAGGCTTGGGCATGGTGATGTTCTGGCTCGAAATATTGGCAGCTGGCTTCCATGGCTTGTTCGTGTCGGAGTTGGCCAACGTCCGTGGTGCACCGTCCAGAGCGGGCCAAGCGTCAGCAAGAGACGAGTTCGAGCCTGAGGGGCCCACTGCTGCCATGAAGCCTCATATTGCTGTCTGCCACCCTTTCCCATGGTTGCGCGCGCCGCGAGAGAAAAAGGGCAGAAAGTAGGATACCTGTGGTGATCTGGCTCATGAAAACAACCGAGAACTTGCTGCGGACCAGCGGCTTCCTTGCAGGCACGGAGGCGCGGAGCCCCCCGTGTGCAGACATCTTGAGCCAAAAGAGCTACGGAGGAGGAGGAGGAGGAGGAGGAGGAGGAGGAGGAGGAGGAGGAGGAGGAGGAGGAGGGGGACGGGGAGGAGGAGAGGGGGAGGGGGAAGAGGAGGAGGCGGAGGCGGAGGAGGAGGGGGAGGAGGTGGAGGAGGATGAGGAGGAGAGGAGAGGAGGAGGAGAAGGAGGAGAGACGAGGAGGAGGAGGAGGGAGGAGGAGGATGAGTAGGGGCAGAAAGGGGCAGGAGGAGGACAGAATGTGGAGGAGAGATGGGGGAGGGTGGAGGCAGGAGGAGGAGGAGGAAGGAGGAGGAGGAGGAGGAGGAGGCGGAGGAAGGAGGAGGAGGAGGAGGACGAGGAGGAGTGGGGAGGAGGATGAGGACTCTAGGAGGAGGAGGAGTAGGATTAGGAGAGGGAGTGAGGAAAGGAGGAGGAGGAGGAGGAGGAGGAGGAGGAGGAGGAGGAGGAGGAGGAGACGTAGCCTGCGGCGCGCCGGTCCATCCGAAGAAGGGCCGGCGCATTGATTTCACAGGAGGCGGGCCTCGCCGCGATCGAGCACTGGACCGCGGGGAAGGAGGCCCGACCGAATATGGAGGAGGGGCGTGCTGGTGCTCAGCGGCCAGAAGCGGGAGCACGGATGAGCCTCGACAAGTTCTGACATCAACGCCCCGCCCAACCAACCCCCCCAACCAACCAAACCCGCCTCAACCTGATTCAAGACGATGGCCGTCCAGACCGTGACGGCGCGTGCCCGATGGAGAGAAAAACGGAGGTTGCATTTGAAACGCGGCTTGTCGTCACCAACTGCTGGTGCTGCCCTCAGACAACTGGGCAGGCGAGGGGGTGAAGAGGCGGCGGAGGAAAAAGAGAAGGGGAGGAAGAGGAGGAGGAGGAGGAGGAATGGGAGGAGGAGGAGGGGGAGGAGGAGGAAAAGGAAAAGGAGGAGGAGGAGGACCAGAGTAAACCCAACCGGCATCAACGATGTTGGAATAAACCCTCCCTCCAAGCTTCCTCTTCATAGGCCCCTACAACGGTTCATTTCCACTGAAGGCTTGTTGGAAGACAGCCGTTTGAAGACCCTGCAGCATGCCAAAACATTGTTCTCGGGATTCCAACGCCACGGATCAACCTGACTGTTGCGTCTGACGATCCAGATTCCGGCTGGAACGCCATTGATGGGATTGCAGCACAGCGAATCAATGTAACTATTGCGACCGCGTGCTCCTGAATTCTCTCAAAACACCATTCCTGGTACGCTGATGATGGGAGTGCGTGAAACTCTTGTAATTTGTAACAACGAATGTGCGCCGCGCTGAAGCGAGAGCCGCATTTTGAAAACCAACCGCCCTCAGTCCGTGAAGCTCTTGCAAATAACGAATGTGCGCCGCGCTACAGCGAGAGCCACACTTTGCAAACCAGCAGCCTTCAATCCGTGAAGCTCTTGCAAAGTTGCAAAAGAATGTGCGCCGCGCTAAAACGAGAGTCACATTTTGAAAACCACCCACCCTCAATCCGTGCAATTCTTGCAAATTTGTGTAGCGAAGGCGCACAGCGTTACGGCGAGAACCGCATTTTGAAAACCACCCGCCTTCAATCCGCAGAACTCTCGCAATTGTTTGGAACAAAGTGTGCACCGCGCTAAAGCGAGAGCCACATGTTGAAAACCACCCGCCCTCAATCCGTACAGTTATTGCAGCTTTGAATGTGCGTTGCGCTATGGCGAGAGCCATATTTTGAAAACCACCCGCCCTCTATCTGCGAATCGGTTGACAATTTCTGAGGTTCAGAATCATGAGTGGTGAGGAGGTCTCAGGCGAAACGCCCAGCCCGCCCTGAACACTGGCCCCGGGGTGAGGAAAAGGAATGGAGGCAGAGGGAGAGGGAGGTTGGAGTGTCTGAGGGGACAGCGCGTCATCCCGAATTATTGCCGCAGAGGGCAGGGCATCCTGCAGCGCTTACCGCCGAGGGGCAGCTCGACAGCTTGAAGGGCCGCGCGAGCAAGCGAGCGAGCGTCATCACTGTTAAATGGGGATCCGGCGACTCTTATCCCCTTGGTGAGCTAACCGATGCAACTGAAAATACATTGCAC